GTCCCCCACCCCCCCCCCGCCGATTCTTTCAGCACAGATTGCCTCGTGTTTGTTGAGACTGAGGACCTTGAACATCAACCCCACCCCCATCTTGGTTCAATTCTGTCACACATTCGGGTCATTGTGCATTCACCTCATACTGCCCCCAGTTCAAAATTGTTGCTGATTTCCTTTTTTGAGCATCGGCATATCTTGTGGCCAATCGTAGTAGATGTATAAGTCAACCGTAACTAGTCACTGCCCGCCGGTGTACTTTGATGCGAGCAAGCAGCCCATGTATTCAACTCTATGCAGGTACTACCTCTACGGAGAGGCCCAATGTGTACGTCATCTGGCTCTTTGCTGTCGCGCCGCGGTTGACGCAGTCGATCATATTGGTTCGTGTTTTGCTAATCTGGAACTCGTTATTTGGTCCGAAGGTTTTTCAGGCTGTGACTGTTTCCATTCAAGAACAACAGAGGCTTTGTCAATCTTGTATCTCAAATGACAAACTACTAGCAATGTTGTTCCGAATTCTGTTTCTACACGAAAATATCACTTTTGATTTTTTTGGCTTTATTGGGTTCCTCTTAGGAGGGGCAGCAACGGTAAATCGTTTCTTCAGTTGTGCTATAATCTCAACCTGATTCATCCGTAGAATGTAAAATGGGAAGCTCCGATTTCAGGATTACTTCAACTTGACTGTCGAATCGTGCCTGGTGACTTGTGTAGGCTGATGCTATAAGTAAAACAGAGGAGACCTCTCCTTTTCGGAAATCCTTTCTGGAAGTTGTTTCGACTATTGATGTTCCTCTTGTTAGGGAGTATTTGACAGGTTTATTTGGTGGTACATCTTTTCGCCAATTCCTCCAGCGCCACAAATTGGTTAGCCTATGTGAACTGTCTTCATATGCCCATCTTGCCTTCTTGGCATTCTCTCTGTTCCGTTCTTCTGCACGAGTGTTCCAAACGTGACCATTTTACTCATTCGTTTCTTATAGCCTGTCGCCGAGAGACCGTTTTCCTTCGAAGCGGAATTGGACGATTTGCCAATCGCACAGCTGAAGGAGATGATCTATCAAGAAGTTAGCCAGTTTTCCGAACCAAAGTGATACTGGACACCGGCTGATTGCATCAGTTCCCAGTTGATAATTTTGGCAACCCAATTTTTTCTCAATTTTTTATCCCGATCTCAGACAGAACATAGAACAGCGTTTTGCTCAAGCAGACCTGAAGATCTTGTTGTGAATGTGGGTGATCTTGTGTCATGGTTCTGTGACAAGCTTCCAATTTCCACATCAGCATTCCACACTCAAACACAATCCCGCACACATCACTAATGTATTTTTGGCTGATGCTGTCATCCGACCGAGCCTGAACTCATGACAAAACCCCTTGTTGTCCCGGCTTCAGTGTTTGCGAACACCAGAGATCTTGCCAGGTTCCTATACCTCACTCGTACATGCGCCAAGGTGTCCAGTCATGTTGATCTCGGTGCGCGTTGCCTTCCCTTCGGCCGTTATAGATGTGTCCCCCACTCCACACACACACCCTCTCTCTATCTCTGCTGTGCTCGTTTGATGTCCCATTCTTTCCTCTCTTCTTGTTGTGCGTCTGATGTGACGCATTGGACCACCTGTCCAATCAGTTATCGCTTTTCGCATCCACCTGAACTGTCTTCTCACCACCGGTCTTTCCGATGTTTGTACATTGAATCTGCACAGATTGACCCAACTATTCACCCCAATCACATACTGTTCATTAAGCGCCAGTGCCGACCCACCGTGTATTTCTCCTCGGTCATTTGACAATTTTTAATCCTACTATTTTTGTTCACTCTATTTTTTTGATTCCAGCTCCTTATCGTGAGAAACTGCTGGACCTCCAACAACAACATTCACAGCTGAGGGCACCGTACTCTCTTCGCTCCTTCCTTCTTTCAAGGCACATAGGCGTTAGTACTAACCTGACCTAACTTCGAGCATAGAACTACGTTCCTCTACCGTTCGAAGTTTTGTTCTTTTTTCTCTCTCCTAATCTCCTACTTTTTTGTGAACCAATGCTAAAAACGCAGCCTATTTTATACCTATTTCAAAAAGACTTTCGGAAAATCGTGTCACTTCTCTGCTTTTCGGTATTTGTCGTAAACAGTCAGGTGCAGTCTTGCTGTCCGTCAACACTTTCCCGAGCAGTAATCAATGTGTGCGTGTGTTTGACCGCATACAAATAGGAAGACAGGATGTCCCAGTATAAAAACAAGAGAGAGTGGAATCATGGAAACTGGTTGCGAAAACGTGTCTAGAGGGTACGACGGTCAGGTGTACGACAGCTACACCCCCCGTACAGTATTCAATTCCAAAACACTCCTTTGGCTGAGCTTTGTTAGATCAAACCACCGCCAGTTCAGGTTGTTCGGTTCAACTTGTAGTTTGGATCTTTTTTTCGGGGATAAGTCTACTCACGCATTCCGGTCATAAGGAGAGGGAAGTTGTTTGCTGCTGGTAACCACTGAATGTTGTGAAACCCAACTAAAATGGTCTTTGTTGGAAAGTTGCCTTTCCAGGCCGAATCCCATTGAACCATACAAACCTGTTCATAGCTTTTAGGAGCGAGTGTAGCTTGAAACGTCAGTCGCATCGTTTACATCTCAGAGCATGGGAGGAACCACGGTTGTCACGTGCTTCCTAGTCTTTTGCACAGTACGTACACTTATTCATATCTGTTGCAATCTACGATAAAACGGAACGCTGAGTCGCTTCCGTTCGATTCTTGAGAAAGAATTGCCTTCTCCTAATTTTCAATTGATCGAAACATATGAAACACAAACAGGCCCTTTTGGTGTGCTACACACCCACTGCCATGGAATGAATTAATCGGAACCAGTGCGTGTCGCTAATGCGTCGTGCCTGGTTCTGGCTTTCCCCTCTCTCTCCATTCTCACGTAGGGCTTTGAGGCATGGCACACCCTCATGTGCACCCTCAAAAGTCTCAGCTACGAACTTTGTCCTTTTTACCATAAAATGCCACCATTGACGCCAAACATCAGACACGAGGAAGCCATCGAAGATTAAACCTAATCCGTGTCTGTCAAACAATATGGCACAGAATTATTATACCCGTCAATGAACTTTGATATATTGGTTCCGGGTGGTCTGTGGGCACACTGAATGCTTGTCTGTGGTTGTAACGTCAGTCTAAAGGATACTTTATACAGCTTAGTGCAACGGTATACTCATCTGTTAGCCAATGGTATGATGATTTCTTCCCACTACCGGATGTGTATGGTCGAGTACTCAAAGGCAGGACCGACAAGGTCATAATAGACTGTCGGAATAATAGTCCTAAATTTCAATGTGATGAAATTGGACCTGTCTTGAAAGTAACGTTGGACCATGAGTGCTCAGATTGCCATGAAGTTTTCAGATTGAACTACCCAAACCGGTCTGACCGACAAGGTCATAATAGACTGTCGAAATAATAGTCCTAAATTTCAATGTGATGGAATTGGACCTGTCTTGAAATTAACGTTGGATCATGAGTGCTCGGATTGCCATGGAGTTTTCAGATTGAACTACCCAAACCGGTCGGGATTTCCAATGAGAATGATTTGAGCATTGAGGTGGAACAATTGAAACACAGAGTAACGTCTACGACAAGTCTCATTTCGACTCAGCAGATTCACGATTAAAAGCAGTCTGGAATCCTGAATGCGATACAGAGCCTGCTTCATTGGTGGTCCGATATGTCATTAGTCGGTGAGTTCAACTTGTGTCTCACCGAACTGATGTTTCACGAGTTCAAATGAAGCTTATTCAGAATAACTCACTGTTAACTCATCACCATCATCAGAGACGGAATCTTAAGTGCGAACGCTGATGATTCACTGCCGTACAACACTAAAATGAAAAGGAGAAGAAAGGTGAGTGAACGCTGGACTAGTCTAGCAGAAGCGTACACCTCCAAGTATTCAACCAGACAATCTGGAAAGAAACTGACAGCACGAAAGCCAGCCACCAAAATGAAAAGGAGGGGAAAGGTGAGTGGACGCTGGACTAGTCTATCAGAAGCGTACACCTCCAAGTATTCAATCAGATAATCTGGAAAGAAACTGACAGCACGAAAGCCACTGAGATCAACTAGTTGCCGTTTCTTACAGTGATCCCAGCCAAGCTTGGGGGATTACGGCGACCCATCCCAACGGCGGACCGCACCAACAACACGTTACTCTTCATCATCTCTCCCACGTTGTCTTCTCTCAGTTTGCACCACTGCGAAGGAGAGGTGGAACAACACTTGTCTCGGTAGGCGGCGTCTCGGCTGAGCCACCGCAGTTGGTAGTGCTGGATATTTGCTGCGACTCAAATGTCCTCTGCACACCCAATTGCCCGTTGACTAGTCCCTTTGGTCTCATCAAGGCCACAAGTTGGAAAACTCTCAGATGCTCCATTACCGCTTCAGGTTCATCTGTGGCCCATTAAAAATGTGGATGCACTTCACCCGCGCACAGTGCAGATCAGCTGAGAAACATTCACGAAAAACTTCACACTATAGAGACTGAAATGCTCAAGCCAATGAACCGAAGCGCAAAGTTCCTGCTGTTAGCCCGAACTTGTCATGGTTTTTTCACAAAGTAGCCCGTTAGTGATGAAGCAGCGTTCGTAGACATGAACTACGGAAACGATTTATTTGATCAGTTTCTGTGCATTTGTAGCCCACCTGATGAACAAGGTTTCATGCGACTAAATTCTTCGCGAACAAATTGTACGTCAAAACGAATGCGAGGAGAACCTCAGTGGTCGTTCGCTGTACTCATCTGAAGGAAGGAAGGAATCTTTCTGGTCCTCGTTAGTTGAAGATGTGCGCTTCACTTGCACATACCCTCTCAAACAAGCACCAACGTGTATTGAAATAGAACCATGTGAATAAAGGCTTGTGTGAGTGGAACATTTGATCGTGAAAATCTCGTGCTCATCTATATCACGTTTTGTATGCAAAAGCTTGGAATTCGTGCCAAGTTTGTCAGTAGCTATCAACACAAGACCGACACTTAGTATGGTTGACTCACTTGCTAGATCCACATCGATTATCCATTGACAGAATGCAGGATCAGCTAGTCAATTATCATTTGTTACCTATGTGGAACTGTTACGTTGCTGATGAATGGATTTTTCAAATATTGGAGACAAGTGAGAAGAAATGTGAAAATCGAAGTCAGTCAGCTAAACGATGGCCAATAATAGTGTGCATCTGATGTATCCATGTTGAAATTCATCAGCAAAGCTTATCACGAATTGGGAGAGGTTCGAACACGCAACTTCTGGTCCATCAACTGCAAGTTGGTAATTGGCAGTGTGTGGGATTTAGCAACATACCTCCAACTCTTCAGTTAGATGATCAAATATCCCATGGATGTCATTTAGAGAGGTGGCGCAGCAAATAAAGCGTGTAACTGTGTGGTCAACATTACTCATACCCTCGTATGGACTCTGACAGTTAGATGTGCGTGAGTCTAGTTTGTCCCCCTATTGATTTAAATGTTGCATCGATTATATGTCAGTTTTCAAATGAGTGATTTTTGCTCACGATGCGGAACTGGCTCTGTCCACGCTGTCACTCGTCGGCTCCAAATCAAACGTTAAGCAGGCCACACAATTGGTGCTCCTTCACAAAACGGACCATATTTTCTTTTTAAAACTGGTCATCTGGCTAACTAGCCGGAATTCACTTTACTTACAGAAGCTGTGCGTATTACAAAATTTAAAACAAAATGTTTATTGGACGTCAGAAATTCAAAAGTGTCTTTCTCATGTCAAAAGATTATGGACTGATTGTGGAACGAAATGTAAATCAAAACTGACTCAGGCTTAGCGAATATACGCAAACTAATTTGGTTTTTCGAGAGACTCACCTGAAACCCAGCTGAATCTCTCGTTTGTGATGTTCTCAAGCAACTGAATGTGCTGCACCAGGTCGCCTCATGTTTCAGTCGCTGGGATATTCGAGATATCGCGATACATGTACATATTTGTAATGTATTACTCATAAGGTTGCTGTCGACGGATGTTCAGCAACCTTATGAGTAGTACATGACTCTGGCTTCTTTCTAGTACGTAGCCCAGTTGTTCTGACCGGATTCCTCTATGGCTTGCGTTACCATTACTTGTTGAACTCTCTCAGATTTTGACTGATTTTTCGCCTGAGCAATTCGCTTCAGTAAGAGAACCTAAGTACTTTTTGCATGGTCGTTTCGGAAAACGTCCCATTTTACGATAAATGTGAAACCTTGCCACGAAACTGCAAACAAACACGCGTAGTTGGCGTTCGTCTCTCGGATGGGAGACGGACCTTTAGATAAAAAAGTATTGGTCATAAATATCAATGCTTCTGCATGATCTAATCGGAAATATTTGGACTGCCCGAAAGGTCACTGCTCAGATCAGTGACTTTTGTACGTGTCAAATAGTCTATTGGCATTCAGACAATACCTGTGAAAGGAAGAAGGCCTTCGCTGTGAAGTTACTTATTGTAAAGCACCAACTGGACAGTTGCAGATTATTGGACAGAGAAGCGAAACTCTCAGATGCATCTTGTTTATAAAAACTGTGTATCCACCTTCTTCTCGAACGCTTCTTTCTGAAATTTCCTGGATGCTCATTGACTATTACTCAAAGGTAATAAATCTCACTTCTCAATAGACGCGAAGCAGACTTATGGGGAGACCACATACTACTCGCATGCTTCATCAGTAGCATCCACCGTTACACCGTAGGTCAGATTGGATTGTGGGAAGCCTGACAGTTCTAACACCCGCGTTAGCACCCACGGACCTCTAACACCACCACAAACTGTCCACATTATCATTAGCGCGTTCGCAGCGTTTTCAACCCAAGCCTAGTTCTATCGGATCTAAGGTGTGAGAACCCGCTCGTGGACCAACTCTAGAAACTTCGTCATCTGCGTTCCCCCTGAGCCGTTCTTTCTGTAATTAAGACTGTGAAGTTGTCTGTTTATGGAAATATCCCCATCCCAATTTACTTGGTTCTTGAAGGATATTTAAAATCGTCAGTGATATGGCCTCTTCTTGAAGAAAAGCTAAGCTGTCAAAAAGTGGCTTCATGAGATAAACCAAAGTCGATTCCCTCTAAAGAATGAATCTGCATAAGGAGTAGTTTCGCATCACATAACAGGAGCCTGGATATCTGTTTTCTCTTTATGTCTTTGGTCGGAATTCTTATTGACACCAAATCGAAGAAAGGCCAGTGCACATGTCTTGCTCTCTGGTCTTTGTTGAGGGAGGCACATGCACCTTGTGGACATCGTGGACGTCTTGATTTTAGTATGAAGCTAAATCCCACGATACCGGTGAAAGGAAAAAGTCCCTTGCTGCGGCGTTATTAGTTAGAAAACAGAAACTGAACAGTTACAGACTATTGGACAGGAAAGCAAGACTCTCATACGCATCTTGTTTTGTAAAAACTGAACACCTGTATTCTTCTTGAACACGTCTCCCTGAACTTTCCTGGATATTCATCAATTATTACCCAAGTTCAAACGAATGCTACGAAGTGATTCCACAAATTCCGTAATACATCCACTTTCCAATGGACGCAAAATGGAGTTATGAGAAAACGCACTAC